ATTAAAGTTACCAAGTAAGGTATTTCAACTATTACCTTACATGCTCGCCCATTCTTAATGAGTATAAAATACCACAAGATTGTGAAAGTGTTGCTCTCACAAAACATTTATAACTTACATCGCTCTTCTGAATGTATCAATCTGGCGATAAATTCCATCAAAATTGATGTACTTACATTTGGATGTTCTCTCTTTCTAGCAATCACACAAATGATAGTGTAGACTGTAGAGTCGTAAAAGAATCGAGTAATTGTAGGGTCACCATGTGTTAAGATATGGCTAATACAAACGGGACTTTGACGGTTATTTTAAATTCGAAAAGAATTTACACTAAAGATTAAAGATCATTCTTTAAATTACTTATTTTTATGATTTCCTAACAGCTACATAATTAATATCTGATATTTTCTCACATCTTAGAATTAGACTATATTAAGACATGACGTACTCAAATCACGCTAATAAAGCTCTATATTTTGTCCATGTTAAGATCAAAAAGTATTAAATAAAGCCCGACAAATTGTCCAAAAGATAAAGTTTCATCAATGTTACTATACTATTATAACTCTACCAAATTCAGTAACGATTGATAGACTATTTTAAGACTTTGTAATTTGTCCTTGTATGTGTTCAATTTTCAATCACAATAATCTTTATAACAGTGGACCAACATGTCCTTATCAATTCCTAGATTATGGTGGCCCTTAAAAGGAAGGTAAGGGTAGGGACCGAAGAACGTAAATCGATGTTCCTATTAATTGTGTGATAGAAACATGTTACTTGAGAACAAGAAGCAATGATGTTTTACCATGTACATAAATTAAGTTTTGTCAGAAAAAAATCTTTTCGAAACTGAGAAGAAGTTTTAATGGCTTGTCTATGTATTTTGTATATTATTATGATGACACTATTTTATTGAATACTAGCTGACCCGGCGAACTTTGTTCCGCCTTAATGGCAATAAATAACGGGATAAAAAGTATCATATGTCCTTCTCCTGGCTCTAAACTACCTCCCTGACAATTTTCAGCTAAATCGGTTCAGCCGTTCTTGAGTTATAAGTGGAGTAACTAACACGACTTTCTTTTATATATATAGATATTCACTTACGTGTTAGAGGAATCACTAGTTTCGGAATTCTATTATGACGATATTCTATTATAAGTTTGTTGACGCAAAAACTTAATGACAATCTGAAAATTCTGAAAGTCATCGACGAAATATTTTCGTTTTACTTCGGTAGTTTGATATTAGATAATACGAGTAATAACTGCTATGAAAAAGTGAGGTGCTTGTGATGCCGCTATCTGAAGAGTTAATTGTACCCGCATTTTTTTGCTTGTTTTAGACCACGTATGCGCAGACGCACGCGCCCGAAGGAACACAGGAAGTTCAGGGTCACTTGCGTCGGGAGCATAAGGCTGGGTTGCACCATCTTACTTTAACTTTAACAAACGTCAAACGTCTGTTAAATTTCATACAAAAACACCGGTTATCGGTGTAGCTGCAGTTAAAATTAAAGTAAGATGGTGCAACCCAGGTTATGTTATAAACAAAACATAACATAACCGTGAAGTTTTGCTTTAAAAGGCTTGATAAAGCTTAAATATTTTAAACAAAACACAACCGTAACAGAATTTTTGCAAGAGTGAACCAAACCATTTGAATTTTTATCTCAATGGTCATATAAGTGATAACGACAGGCGTCAGGGTATAAGCAAATCGGGTTTTAATACATATCTCTATGTTCCATAAAATTTACCATAAATAAGAAATTTTACTGGACATATGAATAAAATAGCATTCTCCTATATTTGTAAGTCCAAAAGTTACTTCTACACGTAGCAGGTTAGTTGTATGTATAGATGACTAGCATAGCTGTTATGAAAAAGTAGACCAAGTAAGTAGTAAATAGTTTATCTTATCTTACTTAAATTAATGTCTATTGGCGTTGATTAAAAAATATGTATATTTTATGTGTCTAATTTTTGCCCGCGGATTTAATCATATTCCTACTCAGAGTGGTGGAATTGTGTAAAGCAATCGTTATCATTTGACAGTTCATAACGTACGATTATTCTGTCAAACGATTTGTTTAACTGTCTTTATCGTACGTTATGAACTGTCAAATGATTACGATTGCTTTACACAATTCCACCTCAGGAGTATTGTACTCGTAGTTTTCTTTAGGTAAAAATTTTTTCAATATTACTTGACCCATTTGAGACCTAATTCCTACAAACTGACAAACAAACTGTACCTCTTTATAATTACTCTAGATTTCATATTAATTAGACATAGAAACATCACTTTTTAAGTCGTTTAGAGCCACAATCTCACACGCAGCCATGTTGGCTGCGCGTGCGCGACAGGAAGTTCAGGGACGCACGCGCTACACGTCGTCTCTCACTTTCTAACTTTTGGGATTGATCAAGGACGGTTATAGTAAAAAACATAATGAAATAATTTGAAAATGTTACTGACAATTCTGAAAATACTCTGATATACATAGAATCATCTAGACTTGTTTAAATCGGTTAGGTGGGCTGTTGGTTTTTTCATCAATTTATCCAAAAATTGTGTAATTTAACTCTTCCCCGTTGAAGTTTCCCATCAATGTAGAGAAGTGTTTTTTTCAGCTGAAGGAGGAATCTTATTTATTATTATATGATCTAGAAGTTAACCTTTTTACGTTATTCGCCATTATCGCAAGACGATGATCTAATTTACTGTACTACAGCCTATATTTATAGCGTTCTTCTCACCAATAATTTCGAGAACAACACCGCGTCGGCATTATAAAGGTTGTATATCAAAAATTAAAAAAGGAACAGTGCAAGAGCGAGACGGCCGATGCGCGAGATAGCGCGGTCGTGAGCGGGCTCCGTGCGGTTCATATCAGCCCATCTCTCTCGCGCACGACCGCAATAAAACAAATGAAATGCTGTAATCTATGTGGTGCCAGCGGTCCTCTAATTTCATGTTTGACTAGAGCCCGCGAGCGCTCTAGTCGAGCCGACTCGAGTCAGAGACACTCCAGAGTGATCTGTCGTGGGCCACGACATGACTCGAGGCGCGTTTCTCATGGCACTATTAGTGGTGTGAGAGAGCCATTTGGTTCGAAGCTTTCCTAAACACACTGAATCCGGTAATATCAAATTCTGTGATAGGTAGGTTATACGAGAAAGACTCAGTGAGAATTTAGTCAAATTGAAATAGTTCATTCAGTACATAGGCCCCTTTCAGGGCACTAATGTGTATGCCAATCGTAGTGCAAAATATTCGTTGTTATTAGAAAGACTCCATGAAATATAGGTACATTAGATTTATCCTGGGGCTTTGCCTGATTCAATTGCAGTCTATCATAGAAAGATACAGCCTATTATATCACATACGAAACCATCAGTTGCTGAAATTGTTTCCTTGAGACAAACTCTACCTATTCATAATAACAATTATTATATTCTCATGACGGAACAAAATCTTAGACTGGTGTGAATCCTACTTTATTAACAAGACATTCGGTTTCTCAAAGGTGGATAGAGTTACCCTCAACTAAAAGCCAACTAAAAGGCACTCGTAAATGCTTGAATGCCGTTGTCTAACAAAGAAGGCACACCTGTGCTTGGTTCGATTGTCTATTAAGATTTCAGGAAAAAAATATGATATTGAGCTACTATTAACGTAGAAGGGAATGGTGCTAGTGCTTCAGCGTATCAAATTAGAGATCATACTTCACAACACAATACTTTCAGATACAATTCTTAATTGAGGAATGTTAAGTACATTCCATTGTCCATTCAATAAAGGACAATCTCCAATGCAGTCCAACAATGCTAAACATTAGTAAAGAACTCATAAAATTATCTTCCATGGTAGTAAACATTAATCCCCTATAATTTTGCACAGTAAAAGTACCCGGGGTTCGTAAATGAAAACACGCATAGCAAAGTAAGGCCGTTGGATCGTGCCTAGCTTTTTTAATGCCAGCCTAAGGCACAGCGGCCGGACAGCCCAAGAGAGAGAGATTTCTTGCAACGTGTGCTTTAGCCCTGAAGGCCTTTGCGATATGGGATGATCGTCTTTTATAAAACTGCATACCTAAATGCCTTTTTGCGCGTGCATATTTTCGCATTTTTTTAGACTTTGTTAAAAGCGGTAAGTTTAATGGACGGTTTTTGAGGACAACGCCACTCTTGTAGCAGAGTTTTGGGCTGACGACACTGTGAAGGTTTGTTGTCGACACGACAAGAAGAAGAAGAGTAAATAGTCACTAGAAATCTTAAGTCTTTCGGTGGGTAACTGAAACCATCCTTGTTGATAACATCCCAACTATATAATATTATAAATGCGAAAGTAACTCTGTCTGTCTGTCTGTCTGTCTGTCTGTCTGTCTGTCTGTCTGTCTGTCTGTCTGTCTGTCTGTCTGTTACGCTTTCCCGCTTAAACCTCGCAACCGATTTTGATGAAATTTGGCATAGAGATAGTTTGAGTCCCGGGAAAGAACATAGGATAGTTTTTATCCCGGTTTTTGAAACAGGGACGCGCGCGATAAAGTTTTTCTGTGACAGACAAAATTCCACGCGGGCGAAGCCGCGGGCGGAAAGCTAGTTTTAGGATAAATCTTTAAAAATTAGCGCATAGCACACATGTTACCGCGTCCAGATGGAGACTTTTGAAAATTAATTTACTTACAACCAGTAACGGTTCGACTGGTGGTAAATAAACAAAAATTACGAACAACAAAATATTCTATTGGCATGCCGTGATCGGATGTTTGCACACCGTTTGCTTGTATCCATTTATTTGATAGTTATTACCAAATAGTAATAAATAACAATCAATACTGGCTATTGTTTAAGGATTTATAAATATTTAAACAAATAATAGCAAGAACGCGTCGCTGGCCTTGCCAGCTCCCAATAAATGGAGGATTTATATATTTTTTTACTTTCGTGTTGTCCGAGGGTATGCCGAGTTAGGCAAAGAACAAACGCCAGTTCCAGAGCATAGACAATTTATTAATAAATCAGACTCAAGTACTTATAAGCCGGAAAAAATATTTAGATATCGCGATCTAAGTAAGAACAATGCCATCTATCATCTAAAACCGAAATTAACATTTAACACTAAAAGCATGTTCAAGACGGTACCTCGAACATACCGCCCACCAAGGACTTATTAGTCCTTAACCAAATAAGAACTCATACAGTAACTTATGCTGAAGAATAACATTAAAAACTAACGATTACGGAACCAAAAGCATATTGAACCTCTATGCATTAAATTAACTAGGTATATTTTAAAAAAGCTTGTAAAAAATGATCAGCACATTGAAACATAAATCTATTATCAACTATTTCCTAAAGATTAATTAAAACGTAACCCTTCGCTCAACTCATATTGACTAATATTAGTTAAAAAAAACAAATAAATAATATTACAAAAAAATCTTATCTCAAACACTATCATTAGTCGGCAACGGACAAAGTTTTGAAGCTGGACGCTGAATACTAGAACCTTTATAACGCAACGTTACAACTCGCGTGATATTGTCAGCACCCGGATGAAGACTTACCACCCGCCCGTACAGCCATTTCGCGGGAGGTAAATTATCCTCTCTTACTAAGACAACGTCGCCTATCTTCAATTCCTGGGATCTAGTCTTCCACTTGAACCGTTGAAAGAAATTTGTTAAATATTCTTTCGACCAACGTCTCCAGAAATGTTGAACCATTCTCTGAGTCAATTGCCAACGACGCAAACTATTTGTTTGTAAATCGTTAGTTATACTAACGTCAGGAACAGTCAACAGTGGCTCGCCTATCAAAAAGTGACCTGGCGTTAGCGGGACAAAGTCATCAGGATCATTACTAATTTGAGACAAGGGTCGTGAATTAAGGCATGCCTCAACTTGACTCAATACAGTCGTCATCTCCTCGAACGTAAGAGTAGCATCTCCAATAACTCTTCTGAGATGGTGCTTGGTGCTTTTTACCCCAGCCTCCCACAATCCACCAAAATTGGGAGCGTGAGGAGGAATAAAATGCCATTCGGTTCCATTATTGGCCAACATACTCGCTACTTCCTTGGAGAACGACGATCTTTCCTTAGATAACAAAATTTTCAACTCCTTCGCCGCACCAACAAAATTTGTTCCATTGTCACTCCACAGATGATTGCATCTACCTCTTCTGGATACAAAGCGTCTGAATGCGGCCAAAAACCCATTAGAAGTCAGGTCAGAAACAACTTCGAGGTGAATGGCTCGGGTTGCCATACATATAAAAAGACAAATATATCCCTTATATGCCTTATTTCCTCTTCCTTTAGAAACTCTTATGTTTATAGGTCCTGCATAATCCACACCGGAATGCAAAAATGCTTTCTGAGGTGCTACCCTACAAGATGGCAACTGGCCCATTAACTGATGCCTGGTCTTGGCGGCAAAACGAATACAGGTCACACACTCGTGAATATGTGACCGCACAAACATCTTTAACTTTATAACCCAGTACTTCGATCGTATATAGTTGCAGGTAAGTTGTTGGCCTCCATGCATTGTTTTTTCATGGGCATCAGCGATTATAAGTTTGCCCAAATGCGATGATCCATCAATAATAATAGGATGTTTATTACATTCCGGCAAGTGTGATCGTTCTATCCTTCCTCCGACCCTTAACAAATTGTTATTGTCCAAAAATGGATTTAATGTCGATAGTTTACTCTCCTTCTTAACATTTTTATTTTTCAGAATATGCTCAATATCTTCACGAAACCAGCTACGTTGATGCATACGAACGCAACAGGTAAGTAAAACGTTTGTTTTTATTTGTATAGAGAACAATAGTGTCTAGACAAACCTAAAAAGGATTTAGGACGCTATTTGGATCAAATATGTAATTGCTCAATAATGAATAATAATAAATAAAAAAAAAAAAAAAAAAGTGCTTCCTGTATTTCAGCAGCTGTAAGGTAGGGCAACGGTTTTGATTTAGGTGTTGCCGTGCTCTTCAGATCCAAGAATTTTCTGCAATAAGCAATCACTCGTACCGTCTTCCAAAACGACGAAAACTTACCAAAAAAAAAACTCTGAACTATCCTCGATTGAAATGTTATGCACTTTTACGTTTCTAGCCTCAAGATCGATTTTGGTACATATTGAAAGTGGCTTCGTATATTGAATTTGGTTCTCCTTTAGCCAACGTGGTCCGTTTCTCCATAATTCATTGAAAGTCAACTCGAACGGTGGAATCCCTCGCGAAGCGCAGTCGGCGGGATTCTCTTTAGAGGACACATAAGCCCACTGACAGGCATCTAAAAGAGTCAGTATTTCAGCCGTGCGATTAGCCACAAAGGTCTTCCACCGACTAGGGTGATCCCCCAACCAAGCCAATACAATGGTGGAGTCTGTCCACGCATGTAGTTTAGACTTATCAATGTTAAGTACTCCGGCGACTTCTCTTAGCAGCTTTGTGACTAAAACCGCTCCACACAATTCGAGGCGAGGGATAGAAACCTGTTTTATTGGAGCAACTTTCGTTTTCGCTGTTATTAGGTGAGAAGTTATTGAACCATCTTTGGATATGCATCGGATATATACCACTGCAGCATAAGCGGCAGTAGATGCGTCGCTAAATCCATGTAACTCCACCTGTACGTCACTGTCAGCTCTATGTACCCATCGAGGTAAATGAAAGTCTACTAGTGTCGCCAATTCTCTTCGGTACAGCTCCCACTCTTGTAATAGTGACTCAGGTAATTTGTCATCCCAGTCAAATCCAGAGATCCAGAGTTTCTGTATGAAGATTTTAGCTGTTACAATACACGGTGAAATCCATCCAAGAGGATCATATAGTCGACATATTTCAGCAATAATTCCTCGCTTCGTTTTAGGTACAGGAGCCTCAGCCGATAATCGAACTCGATAATCAAACTCGTCGGTATTCCGATTCCAACTTAAGCCCACTACTTTGGTTATTTGATCTTCTTTAATCTCTCGATCTGTCCTTATATTTTCATTTTCAGACTTCAATAAATCTATCTTGTTGCTAGCCCACTTTTGCATTACAAATCCTCCTTTCTTGAGCAACTCATTCATTTCTTCATACATTTTAAGAGCTTCATTTTCAGATTGACATCCGGTTAAAAGATCGTCCATGTAAAAATCGGTTTTTACTCTACTCGCCGCCAGCGGAAAGTTATGACCTTCATCCACAGCTACCTGTTGTAATGTTTTGACGGCTAAGTATGGAGCGCAGGACGTCCCAAAGGTTACAGTTAACAGTCGATAATCTTTAATTTTATCACCCTCGTTTTCTCTCCACACTATTCTTTGATAATCAACGTCTTTTTCTGCAATCTTGACCTGTCTATACATTTTAACAATGTCAGCAATGAGACAGATAGGATGTAGTCGCCATCGCATAATTGTATGACGTAACTCCGGTTGTAAAGTTGGACCCACCATCAATGTGTCATTCAATGACAGTCCGTTTGCACTCCTATCGGATGCATTGAAGACTACTCTTGTTTTCGTAGTGCTTCTGTCCATTCGAATAACCGCGTGATGTGGTAACCATACCCTTTTCTGAGTCGCATCCGTCCCCTCTGTGACTTCTTCCATATGACCCAAACTCTTATATTCTTGCAATACCTCAGAATAATCTTTTTTACTATCTGGGTTTTTGCTCAGTCGTTTCTCAAGACTAGCTAGTCTTTTCACAGCTACAGATCGCGTATCACCATAATCTTGTGATATATTTGTACGAAAAGGCAACTCTACAACATAGCGACCGGAATCATCTCTTTTCGTGGTTTTCTGATAGTGAGTTTCACATGCTTGCTCTTCCGGTGTTAACACTCTCTCCTTTACTAAGGGGGGTTCAGATTCAAGCTCCCAAAACCTTTTCAGCAGTTCATTTTCTTCTAGTTTGACATGTAAATTCAAAATAACATTATGGCAATTTTGCTCCTCGTCATTCCCGCCCACCTGACCCGACAATACCCATCCCAGGTACGTATCCTGCGCAATAGTTAAACCTGAAGGACTCTTGATTAAACCTTCTTTCAGAATAGTACAATAAACTTCGGAACCTAACAAAACATCTATTTTGTTGGGTGAATTGTATTGTGGGTCAGCCAAATTGATCTTACCTAATTCTTGCCAGTTAGGTAGTACAAACCTTTTTTGCGGTAAAATTGACGTAACTGTGTTAAGTACGTGTGCCTTAACCTGTAACTTGAATGTGGGGTCATTGAGCGACTGAATATTGACCATAACCACATACTTCGAGGTTAAGCCGCTCTGACCACCACCCAATCCAGAGATGCTACTCTTAGCCGCAATTTTCCTCAGACGTAACAACTGTACGGCTGCTTCTGATATGAACGATGCTTGCGACCCTTGATCCAGAAGTGCTCTCAATATCAGAGGATAACCATTTATGGACTCAGCTTGGATCAAAGCTGTGGCTAATAAGGTCTGATTAGAACCCTTTCCTGTCACAAAATGGCTTACAATGTCCGCGGTCTCCTTCGTCTCACAAGACGATTCTGGCTGACTTTGCTCGATTTCTGAATCCTCAGACAATTCAGTGGCTACTGCTGACGTTAGTGAATATGGTCTACCATGGAGAAGCGTGTGATGTTTACCGTTACAAATCCGGCATTTAGTAACGACTCGACACGATTTTCCAGGGTGACCTTTCCCAAGACAATTAAAACAAAGGCCCAGTGACTTTACTATATCATAACGAGTTGATACATCCTCTTTGGCAAATTGACTACAGACATATAACTTGTGACTATCCTTGCAGTGTGGACAAATATTATCAACGGCTGTGTGGAGGACTTTCATTTGATTAGGTTTAAATTTGGTTTTATTAGGCTCTATACATTCCAATGCGCGAAAACGACCTTCCAAAAACTCTTTGAATAGAAAATACGATGGTAACTCTTCACAGCAATTATTTACGTGCAATTCCCATTGTTTCCTACTTTCCGCGTCCAACTTCAAACTGACAATATATATAATAATAATATCCCAGGATTCCGTATTAATTCCTAAATTTGACAGTTCATGAATACAATCTGAAGTGGTATCTACCAGCTCTTTTAAAGCTTGTGCAGACTCATAATTCATAGTGCGTTGACTAAACAATCGTTTAAGAATGCAATTAGACATAAACCTTTTGTTATCATATCTTTTTTGTAACAGATCCCAGCATTTTTTATAATTTAGCGTAGTTATAGGAATATGTTTAATCAATTGTTCAGCTTCGCCTGTTAATTGTGTTTTTAGATAATGTAAACGTTGGACATCATCAAGAGTTTGATTGTTGTGAACTAAGGAAAGAAATAAATCTTTGAATGATGACCAATCAGAATAATTACCATTAAAAACCGGTATAGATATTTTAGGCAGCTTGACATTATTGTCTCTCATTTTGGAATTAAAACAAGGCAAATCTGAACAATCGGTACTTACAGGATTCAATGACATAAGTGTAGCTTTTAATTCACTTTTATATACTAAGTACATTTCATAGCCGACTCCAAACACGTCGTCCTCGATATAAGTACTTTCGTCTAAATCCGCCTTCTCATATGATGCTATAATTGACTCATGCCGCTCCATGAACTTGTTCATCAACGCCTCCAAAGCCTCCAGTCTCGCCGTGACGTATGTTTCGGTAATACGATCCTTGGGCGATTTCTTGAAGTTTATTCTTCCTTTTTCTATTTGACTTTTCAAGTCACCCATTACTCTGAATTCTGCATCCATTTTCGCAAATTTCCCAAGTCCCCAACTTGCCGATTGAAATTTTTCTAAGTGTTTGAACTCACAATTTCGCTTTGAAATCGGGCATAGGTTCCCCGTAGTGTCACTTTTTGCGAAACTATTCTAAGTCCTAAACACTTAAACATCCAAAGTACTTACAGGTTTAACTTGCACTTTAATATTTTCCACATTTTCACTATCACACCATTTTCAATTTCAATGTATCAACACGTCCCGTTTTCTGTCACTTCACCAAATGTCAGTACTGTCACTACTGTTTTTCTTTTTAAAACTTCATCGGTCTTCGTCTGTATCCAGCCAGCAGCGCCACTGTCCAAAACCAAATGCACCAACTTCGACACACCTCGTAGTTTGCTTTCTTCAAAAATGCTCCGTCTCGTAAGGACCCTGTCCGAGGGTATGCCGAGTTAGGCAAAGAACAAACGCCAGTTCCAGAGCATAGACAATTTATTAATAAATCAGACTCAAGTACTTATAAGCCGGAAAAAATATTTAGATATCGCGATCTAAGTAAGAACAATGCCATCTATCATCTAAAACCGAAATTAACATTTAACACTAAAAGCATGTTCAAGACGGTACCTCGAACAAATATTTACTTCAAAGTAATTATTTTATTTATTTTTATTTTCATTGTCATTTAGAATGTAAGGAGAAATAATGATGAGATAACTTTTTGTTCCAATAAATCTTCCTGAAATTTTTAGTACCTAATCTACGAGTTTACGACTCAATTGTTTAGAAACACCAGTAAAAATTAACGACCCGAACTCTTCAGTCTCTTTTTATTGTCGGCTTTAGACTTGTTTTATGTACAGGCACATCAAGTTATACACTTTAGTCGTATGTACTTGTAATAAGGGTGATTTCGCAGCAAAAATAAGATTTTGTGGTAAAACAGGACTTATTATAATTTTTTAAGATGCCACAATGTTTACTTTGACTTTGGTGCTTTTGTTGATCGTTTTTACGATTGGTTTACCCAAAAGTTTATTAGTGTCTCTAGATCAATCTGACATTCGTTAAAGTTTTATTTATTTATGCATGACAAGGCAGGTATTTGACCGCAATCTGAGATGCAGCCTATGATGGTAGGTACGATATCTACCCTGTAATGTAAATGGCAACCGCTACTTTTTTACGTAATTCGTGTACGTAATTAATTAATATTAATCGCAAATCCAAATCGATCCTAAATTGTCTATAAGCACGGAAACGCAAAAGTTCGGTTTTCTTACCAACATCATGGAAGTTTGTTTTGTATAACAACGAAGCGAAGGGCCCTCGAACTTTTAGATCGATTCAACGACCGTGACCCCAATCCCATCAAATCATCCATGGATACCAGAGGCCAGCTGTTCTATATTTAATCCGAAGTTAAATTTTGGCTTTGGAAATACCAGAACAGCTTGCTATCATTCAACGGTCGACAAAATTGGACCGACTGAACTTTGCTGGCCGCCTGCCAATTGCTAACAAACGATTAGGAGTTAGCGAATGATTAAACTTTTGGGGAAGTGCAACCGGCCTCGTGACCCGATGTTACATAGTTTTCAGAATATTATACGACTATAAGGGCATTCACGATCTCTGAATAAGTTCTAGTTTAACTAGTTAGTTTTGCAGGGCAATCGAATACCGCACTTATGCCCGTTTTCACCATCAATCTCTAATTTTTAAGTGACCCCTTTGAAAATTTTCTGTGAAGTGTTACCATAGGGGTCACTTAAAAATTAGGGATTGATTGTAAAAACGGGCATTAGCCTCTTGATTGGGCCATTGTGCGCTACTTATGGTTTTATTCTTCCTACTCCAACCACCCTAGATCCCCTCAAGCAAGCAGCTTGTCTACGCCGCTACAGGCCTCCTGCAGCGACGCTGGCGATGAACTAACTAAGTTCTAGTTACTTCCAGAATAGCACATTCAGCAAGAAGTTAAACTTAGAACTTTATTCTGAGGTCGTGAAACAGGCCCTTGGACTAATCAGTTTTATAAATGGTTAGTTGACAACATTAAATCGTCTCTAAAACATTTGGTTTCAGTCTCGAATACCGAATTAATTTGAAAATAATAGATAAATTAGATTATAGTTACTTGAGACTATAAATAGGTTAATCGAGTTGGTAAATAAATAACATCAAAGGTTCTACGAGTAGAATATTTTATGGCAGAATCGCGTTTTGACTCGAGGATCAATTATTAAAATTTAGTGTTGTCGACTACCCAATAAATATTTTAACAATTATTTTGTTTTGAGAACTATTAGCCTGGGTTGCATCATCTTGCTTTAACTATAAAAATCTGTAAAACTCCATACAAAAACACCGGTTATGGTTACAGTTACGGTTATTGTTTCTGTTATAGAATAAATGTATTGAAGCCTAGCCCTTTAGTTTTAATAATCATGAATCATTTCCATTATTCGCATTCTTCTTACTTTAGGTTGTCGGGAATTGCTTCATTCATAAGTAGTTCGTAATAAATAACAATTGCAATTTTTGTGTACTAAAAACAGAATAAACTACTGGCAATTTTATGTTTTCATGTAACAAAAACTTGTCAGTGTTTGTTCTAATTTCTTTTTTGTTTAAAAATGAACAAAATAAACTTTATTATGTATGTATGTAAGAGGTTATATTAAAATATTATGTATTACTAAACTGTAATTTATAGTTAAGATGTACTTATAGTCGAGTAAGGTGGTCGTGTTGTAATACAAATGTCGTATAAGATCGGTGTAACAAAATGTTAATTTGATTTTAAAATAAATTCTATTATTTAAAATTATTGTGAAAATATATTTTTTTATTTGACCTAGTTCCTTACACACATTTTTCTCAAAATGAACAAAAACCACTGCCTAAGCAACTAAAGGGATGTAACATGAAGTAAAGCTATCTACATTTTGACACATTTATTAACCGACTTCAAAAAAGGAGGAGGTTAAAAGAGAAAAGTGGGATAATCTTAAAATCATCAAAATATTTAAAAAAAAATGCATAATAATATGTATAGCCTGACCAGGAACATAAAAACCCTCGCCATGTTGCGGAAAATTAATGGTACTAATTTCTTTTAATGGCAACAGTAACTGAAAACTTCATTGACATGTCACCTTGCATGTCAGTTTATTGTTGTCAAAGTGTAAACCTCAGATCATAGAAGGGAATAGATGTGAAACGGGGGCGTGGCGCGTGTCTCCGCGATATGCCCAGAAACGAACATCGGCCGCGTAGCTAGGTTAGTCGCGATTCAGTCGTACTAAGGAAATGTTCTCAGAATTTTTTGGATAATGCGTCGTTACGTGCAATAAAACAAGTGAAACGAANGTTCAGGTTAAACTTCCATTCTTCATAACTTACATAAAATAATTCATCATCATGTTCGTGATTATTTTAAATGAACTTAATTTCATTACTTACACGAAATAACTATCAAAATGTATTGATATTCTTATCGTTTTAATAATAACGATTGAGCTACTACAAATCATTTGCATTTGAGTATTTTGGAAGCTTGTTAAAAGAGCATTAATTATGATAGGACGGATCTTTAGTTAACAAAGATCTTCGGTCATCGAATGTGCAAATTTGCGATTTTTGATTGTTTTCTCGTGCGGTTTTGAGTAGTTAGTGTATGAACGTGTGATAGTGAGTGTGGTAATAGTGAGTGAGTGTTAGGAATATGCCTAACCATACGTACAGTGCTCGTGAGTAGATAGGTACGTAAACATGGTTTACTGTTACGGGAGGGCACGTGGAAACGCATCTGAAGTCGCATTGGTAAGTACCTAACTCTAAACTTAAAGGACATTCCTTTTTAATGTAGGAAGTGAATCTTNTTGGGGTGAACATCAGCACTACTTAAGTTGCCGATACAAACAAAAAAACTGAAGTATTTTTCTTATTTTTCCTAAAGCAGTCATGACTAGGTCCACCCTGCGGCGCCGGCTTATCCTTGAATTTTGGGACACGTTGTATAAACCAGTTTACCTATAATATAATATTTTTTGTTAATTTATGAACATATTAAATTAGCCCATTATCCTGAATCCTGATACATAAAATTAGCCTATTAATTTAATACAGGTACGACTGTACCCAGTGTTGCACTATCAAATACAATTGACGCGCCTCTATGCCAGGGTTTTTATGTTCCTGGTCAGGCTATAGTATACAGACTATGATAATACATAATAATGAAGTTGATTCGTATCACTTGTCAAATAGACTCTATCAAGACATAAAACTACAATGCTAATGCTATGACGAATTCCTGCCACATTCACATCGATAAAATCTACTCCATAAGAAAATCTATTCACACTTCACCCAAACGAATATAAACTTTATCACCGATCCAGAAAGATCACAGTCGTAGTCTCACTATTGACGAAATGACGTATGATGCCCATATTTTCAAAAAAGGACGCGCCATTATCATACAATCGCACCCGTAATAAAATTGTATGAAACAAAACGACTGGAGAATAGTGATGTACGAGTAATTTTATTCTGGATTTATAACGTTAGTTGCATTAGCGTGATTTTGTCAGTTAAAAAAAATGAACAAACTCAAAATCTATATTTTTTTCCTTCTCATTATTGTACGCTACCAAAATAACGTTAAATAAATGAAAGTTCTTATAACAATACATAATGGAATAGAATGTCAATCCGCAAGGTGGACAGAAGACCTCATAAAGGTGGCTGAAGGCGCTGGATGCAGGCCGCTACCAACCGCGCGATATGGAAATCATTGGGGAAGGCCTATGTTCAGCAGTGGACGTCTAATGGCTGAAATGATGATGATAAAAATACAGAAAGTCACATCAACACTAAACAAAAAAAGAAAAACGATCTGTTTGCAATTTAATTCGTTTATCCAGTTGAATTAATTAATTCAAATGTATTCATAATTGACATTTTAACTGGGGCGCTGCGCTCGCACAATCTCATGCAGAAATGTAAATAGGACAAGCTCGACAAATGATATAAGAAGTTGGAAAAATCTCCGTTTTACAGTTGTATTGCATTTCATTTTTATTGATGAGGGTTTTTATCAAATTGGGCAATAAATAGTTATCAACGTATGCGTGTTTTTAGCATATTGCTCCAACATTTTATTGCGGATTATTTCAATTTCAATCAATCTAGCGTAGTGGTTCACGCTCTGCAAAATTGTATAGTAAAAAAACACCATCACACAAACTAAAGTTCAACAACAACAACAAATTTAAAATCCCAACAAAATCTTTTCGCAGAGTATATTTTTCAAGCTTACCATTATATCTATTGAGGTTATTATGTGTAAATAAAAGTCACATACGAGATTTGAGATACATAATTTACTTAGCGTTAGGCCAAACATTTTTGTCCAACAATCCAGTCTTGATAAGTGACTTATTTATTATTTACTCACAAGAAAAAACCACTAATGAATACGCATACGCTAATGACAACGGAAAACAATCCTGACAATAGCATTAGCCCTACACAAATAAGATGCCAATTATCGATACCGCTATTATCTAATAGCAGGTCGCATCACTAGCGTTACTTTCGCGCGAACGCTTCAGTCTCGCAAACCGTGCTGCTCAACAAACAGCAACGACGGAAAATAACCAGTCATCATTAAAATTAACTTAACATTCCACTGCATTAAAATTCGGTCGGCCATTACGTTATCTGAAGCCCTGCAAGGGTCAACAATAGGCCCGATAGTGTATATCATAGAAAAAAATCAAAATGTTAAAGTACACAGACGCGCGGAGCAAAAATCTCTATTAATAGAGTAGGGAATTTATTGCATTGGAGCTGAAAATTCACTATAGTGCGTATCGTTCTTGGAAAACGGTTTGGTGGTTAAATAAATAATAGTGACAGTGAAGGGATTTGAGGATGGGGTGTGAGCTAACGAAGCTGGCAGCATCTGAAGTTCATAATGACCCCATAGACCGTCCGCCTCCGCCGGCGGACCCTCGGTCTCCATTGACCACCAAGCAGCAGTACTGCATGCTGGCCTCTTGGAAAGGCATCTTCAGGCAGATCGAGACCACTGGCATCATTCTTTTTATCAAGTAAGTTTATTTATTTATTTAAAATCTTTACTTAAACACACACAAAAAAGCGGCACAGAAAGGCGAACTTAATAGCATGTGGCATTATCTACCAGCTAACCTTATATTAGGAAAAACAGAGAATTTGAGTAGGCGGTTTTAAATTCCACATTTTTAGTCATGGGACTTCGTTCACCATCTCCAAGTGTCAAGTAGGCTATTCATTGCTTAAAGTCACGAGTAGCAATTTACCGAATTTCACCATCTCTGATTAATGCTAAACTACTTTATTTTACTTGCTAAGTAGTGATAATCTAGAAGACGTAACTAATTAGAACTTTACTCGGAGATGGCGAAAGAGGCGCTTAAAATCTTAGCTTGGCTTTCACTGGTTGGGTTTATATTGACATAATTATAAAGATCCTGTCTACACAGGTAGGTGTTTGAGAATGAAAGGTGTGAATAGACCCGTACTAGAGAAGTCTTAATAATAAATAAAAAAAAAAGAAATTATAAAATGACCAGGTTAATTATAAATTTAAACAATAAATCTAAAATTAATCATACCAGATAAAACACTAAAATGGCTGAACTTTAAGATGACATGCCATACACATGCTATACCTACATTTTAAAAATACAAATTTTTTTGCATGGCATGGCAGTTAGTTAATTTAATCACTTAATTAAATGCCAAAACCTACCTACATGGAAGCGAACATGAACTCATTGTAAAATGTGTTATAACGTTAACGAAATTAAAGTCAATCCATAAATTACACCGGCATATGATGGCAGTATACACCGCAAGTAATTAACTAATACTTTGATGGTAATTAGTTAATCATTTTGTAGACACTGTTTCTTTGTATATTAAAATAACAATAGCTAAGGATTGTTATGAAGAACAATGTGTTTTTAATTATGTTCTTAATGGTATACGCACCGAAGTTGAGTTTAAAAAAATTGAGTTATAGGACTGGGGAGCACGAGATAAGAAAGTTAAGGGCTATACAAACGACAACACATCAACTAAACTTTACGGTGTATTATGTAGTGTAATAGGTACTATTTTCGTTGCAAAATTGCCTGAAAAAACCTGAATATCTGATGTACTCCGGACAGTACGTTTTCATTTACTGTATAATCTGGTACCTTGCCATTTTTAGGCTTGTTTCCAAGTACATTTTCCTCCTCAAAAGGCTGAGTTATGTATTATACCTACTTCCTTAAGGTTCAGCCAAACCAACGCGATCAGATGCGATCAGCCGGCGTGCAGCGATGGCGATCAGACTTAAATGCATTGATCGCCATCGCTGCACGCCTTGGCCTTGTACACAAAAAATAAGTAGGTATTACTTATTGTGTGTGACGTTAATGTTTATACGATTTTTTATCACAAGAGTATTAGTTAATTTGTTAATGCAAGCAATGCAAGTTGTTTTGCTTACAATAGATAAATTAGAGTCAGTCAGTCATAATGTACATTACTGTCTACTCTAAATAATTGTTAATCACAGAAAACGCAACACTATACCTATTTTGTTTTTAATGATTGTCCGTTAAAAAATTTCCGAGACTAGGGGCTATAAAAACTTTAAAATTAAGAGCAAAATGACGATTTGTAAGAATTATTTATTAGTCTAAACAAATAAAGAAATTTTGACTTTTGACTTTTTGATTAGTAGTGTCATTTTAATTCGTAATCATTTTAAATTATTGTTAGCATTTTGAAATACCAGTAGTAACATTATCTTTATTTCTCTGTGAAAAAGATTATAATAATAGTTATCTATTTTCGTGATAGACTAATTTAAACATAAATCTAATTTCAAACGAACGTTTCAATTAGCCAGATGATTTTCGCTGAAACCTCCGAACGAAGCTCAGTCATGAGCTGTCAAAATAAATCCATCATTTGAGGGAATATTTTAAACATCAGAGAGAATCCGTTCATTGAGGAAGCGTTGGGCGAAGTATCGATAATATTCACTATAGAATTTGAATTAGAATTTTAGTCGATAATTTTATGTATAGTATGAGACAGTCGTGCGAGATAAAATAAGGTCGAATTCCTTTTAATATCATTTTAGAGCAGTAAATCATTGAAGTGTTAACATGAAGCATACCTACTAATATAAAATAATACAAGAATGGGGATGTTGCCTGGGTCAAAAAGCAAGAGTTTTAATTAGTCCGTCAGTTAACTTATCAAAAAATACTCTACACGTATTTTTCACTTTTTCAAACTAATGAAAATTTAAAGAGATAAAGCGCCCCAAAGTTCATAAGAAGAGGCCCGTGACGTCAACGCTTGCTTAAAAATGCCGCACGTTGTGACGTCGTGCGCAACTTCAACGCACCATAACTATGTAATTATTTGTTAGATTGACAAATAAAAATATATGTGTCCAATATTTTTTGATATTAAACATTACGGACTAAAAAAATTTAATTGTCTGTAAGCAAATTATATTAATAGGTAGTTCAAAAAATTTAGAGATGTTTTGCTTGAATATTAACTAACTATCTTTAAATCGAATAAAATAATTGTAAAATGTTCTTTTTACATTTAGCTTTTCTGTGAGAGTTCGTGAAAACTAAAGGTGACCTTTAGTTTTCACGCTTAAAAAACATCGTTTCGTTTCTTCAATCTTCAAACAGTTGACAGAGATAATAGTGAATGATGCTTTAGAAACGTTTAGTAAAGTGTTTAATAAAGCAAGTGGGTCGCAATCTCGCAATTACTTCAAAAGAGAGTTTATTATTAAGGAATCACTCTACTAATAAATGAGACAGTAACTTTGTCAGTCTGTTCCATTTTCACGCTGAACCATTTATGATTAATTATGTACATAATGTGGTAAAGTAGAATGGAATTTAAACAAGAACATTGGCTACTTTTCGAAGAAAAACCATATAGGAATAAAATTAAGGATGTAGGAAATTCATCCATAGTAAAATTAGTAAGAATAAGAAATTTATTTATAATGTTCATTACATGTCAAATTTTCAAATACATTTTCTTATTAATAATAGTCAAGTATCAATAAGAAAGAAATACAAATCATGTCCAAATAAATTAATAATACAAAATAGAACTAATGTCAATTAAATGTTACATAAATAGCGGATAAACAACAGTGTCAAACTGTCAATAATCATTAAATTCCAAACAGTTCGTCAATTTTATAGAAGGCCTCGATCAACCACTTTTTTAATTGATATTTGAAAGAATGGTTTGTAATAGTTGATCATAGGATTCCCGATAAAATACTTTCAAAGACCGATCAAATAAAAAGAAATATCGATAAACTATTGATAAACGCTAACCTTAGCAGCCCTATCGCGATTTGGCAGTCAGTTCTGGTACTATCCACTCAACAAACCGTATACTTTATGGTCGGATTAGAACAACAGAGTATTTTTACCGCGGAGATAGCGGTTATGGTCTGGGTGGGGTTTCATTGAAGCGTTTGTCTTGATAAGGACAATCGGGGATCTTGGTGCCTTCCTGTGATGCCAATTTCTGCACGCGTGCGGATCTGTAAGCCTAGGATGCGCGGCGATAAGCGGTTATCACGCCTTATTTCGATTTGCCCATACATTTTGACGTCGATAAAGTATATCGCGGCGCACATTGTTAGTCCGGTCTCTCTAATCTACGGCGTGCGTATAAGTATTACGCTGTTGGTTGCGTGCTAGTACCTAGCCCCCAAAAACATGAAATAGTGAAATGCGGGCAGTCCGAATACGCACCAGATCCGCACGCGTACAAAGTGCGCATCACAGGATAAAGGCACTTATCTTTCTGCTACCGACTCGTAATTTGTAACTTTGTTATTTTATCCCATACTTTTATTTAAAAAGGGAGACAATGACACTAACAAAAACCTATAATAATTGCTTTATTCATAGTGAAAAAGTACATGACGTTTGTGCGAGCTAAACTTTATTTACAATAAACAGATTTTTTTTTTAAAACTAAGGCAAACTTAACTCTAAACAAAATAATTTGGGTAGTTAAACTTTTTTGTATCTATAACTTCAAATAATATCTCAGATAGCAGTCTTAGCAACGGAACCACAGCTTAAATACGATATTTCGAGATTCGGATGCAATCGTTGTACAGTTCCGAACATCAGTTAAAGCAGTGCATTGGATGTTCAACCTTCTTGCAATGTTTTAAACATGTTTGTCCTTCCTGTATTCCCGTGGCTGTTCCCTTTGCGTTTAAACTTCATGAGATATTGTTATTTGCTTGGTAGAAACATCTTGGGAGGAATAAACGAAAGTATGCAAACGAGCTGAGAAAGATATGGTGCATCATCGTGGAATAGTATTTAGTATGGGTTGTATCTGCCTACACTAATAATAAAGTTTGTAATTTTGCTTTTGGGAAGATAAATCAACGAACATATTGAGTCGATTGTAAAAATTCTTTCACCAGTAGAGATTTACAACATTTCTAAGTGACATTTTTTATTTTATTTATTTTATTTTATTTATCTTTATTAAAGAAACATACAGCCTTATTTGACACATGCAGCTTAAAATTAAGTGGGTTATACATTGGCCTTTAAAGTTTCTAAAGCTAGGTTGTACAGTCAAAGTTGAAAAGGAGACAGATGTGTAGCATAATCTATGCATGCAAAAGAAAATATTAACATTAAAACATTATAAAAAATTAACATGGATACACTAAAAATCAAGTAGATTGAAGGAGACGGCGAAACTTCACAATGCGTTCATGAAAGATGTCTAAATGACAAAATGCTGTATTATATTTGTTAGTGGCTCTAATGATGAAACTATTTTTACGATAATTTGATCTACAAATGGGTATACTAAAAGTGTTTCTGTGTCTGACTCGAGGTTTAATACATTTAAAGGCTAATTTACTTAATAAATAAGGACTATCAACCACATTATTTATGATCTTATATAAAAATATTTGATCTCTGTGTTCACGGCGGCATGCCAATGACTCAAGCTTTTCCGAGCTGAAATCTTTAAACCT